CACCAAAAATTTCAATTTTAAGCACATTTTGTGTGGTCATTAAGTTTTTACATTTATTGCTGCGTGAACTAACCCTTTTTGTGTCCTTGGTTACAGATAGCGAAGAGGTTCTCATCAAAAAGATGTTGAGTGGTCATCGAAGTTTGTGTCTGCCGCTGAACCCAGCCCAAGTTCCAACCAGTCCAACTTACCAGCCAAAAAGCAGAAAACACACCAGCAGCCAAGGAAAACTCAAGTCGATTCAAGTGTTCATAAGGTACTTATCGTTCATTTGCACTTACAAGGTAATGAGGCTGAACTGATTTGGGTAAAAAGTTTTTTTCCTCTTTGACACCATTTAATTGTCCATTACGTAATAGAAAACTTAGGCTGAATCAAAGCGAATTATATTTCACTCATAGAATTGATTTGGGCTGTGTTTTGAGGAGACCTGGAGCACCCACATCTAATCTTGTCTTACCCATGGCGACGCAGTGCATCAAGTTTTCAACAGGTGCTCACATTTGTAATGAATTATGGTCGTTTCTTGGTCAGTTCGCAAACTTCTGATAGCCAGTTCGCAAACCTCATATATTATGCGTACTCTGAACTGTTACATAAAATTAGTAATAAGAACTTCAGTGTAAGACGATTATATCATCAACAGAAATTCAGACCAAAACAGGCGTATCCAGCCTTATTTTTTTATGGAATGATTCGATGGAACTTATTTCCTGTGAATTCGATTCCCGTTTTTAATGCACTGCTAAACTGATAATTTTTACTGAATTGAAATTTAACGTTCGACATTTAAAATAGTCTGAACCAAAAATTGGTTAAGCACAACTCACACTTTTATTATTCACACTGGGATTACTGAGATGACTGAAAACAGTACACACTTATTAATGTCGCACGTGCGGCACTTAACTTAGAAGGTGGAGACTGTGGAGGCGTTTTCGAAATGACCAGTTACTTTTGTAAGGCATACCATGCATGAATACCGTAAGCTCTCATCCCATGAAATAACTTCTTCCTGGGTTGATTTTCTTCGGGGGGTCTTACATTGGGGATTTCACTGTGTCTTATAACAATGCCGTCATTCCCAGGAAAGTCCAGTGACTAGTGTTGATCCGTATGATGCGTTTCTGGCGGAGCAGAAAAAGCAGGAGGCTGACTGGGAATCAAATCAAGCCAACAAGAAGGCAAAAACCATGCAGACCACAAACAAAGATTTGTAAGAAATAAAGTAGCAGTTAGCCGCCAAGGAAGCTGAATGTGCAACCCTAAAGGGCCAACTCGACAGTCTTCAGTGTGCCAACATTTCTGTTGTGGAAGCTGTGAATAATAAAGTACAGGAAAGCTTCTGCAAGGTAAGTACAGTGATCAAATGTTAAACTGCATTTTCAAAAACATATCAAGAAACAAATTTTAAGAAAGTAACGACAATGGAATGAAGTGAAGCATGAAAGTGTGGGAACTAAAAAGATAGTTTAATGACCCGCAGTTTACACGGTGCGATTTGTCGTCGGAGCGCTAATCTTTTGTGTATTTTGACAGCCGATTTTAAGACGCGACCTGTACCTTTAACAATTTGTTCACATGCCCTTTGTTTAGGAGCCGGTTTCATTCAGAGTGTCTGGCCGACTTCAGAAAATCCGTTGCACTGCAACAGATTTTTTTAATTGGACCAATTTTCATTTCCATGAATCAGTCGTTCATCGGCTGTCAAAATCCACATAAGATTTCCGCTCCGAAGCCATCAGGCCGACAAATCGTACCATGTAAACCAGCCTTAAGATTGACATGGTGTAATTGTTGAGTCAAACAGGGTTGTTCTCTCTGAATATGAACAGTCTCTTTTGAGTTGAAAACTGGTAAACTTGTGATCTAAAACACGAAAATAATCTGCAGAACATGATGCGTGACAATGTTCAGAATTCTGCAGATGTTTGAAAATGTGAGAGGCCCTATCACTGGTGGCCAGAAAGCATGCTTTAAGGTCAGTACTATTGCCTCCAAATTGTAGTCAATCTGTGGCACTAACACAAATTATATTTCTTCAGGTGATGGAGACATTGGAGGACACACTGTCAGCAATGGAGGACAACATGTCCCTACGACTAAGCAAGATTGAGCACCGCCTGGATTCATTAGAAAAAGTGGTAAGTTGTTGTTCTTTCATGGGATTTGCGTGAGCTTGTCGTAAAATGGATTTTTTNACGCACTGTTAAACTGATAATTTTTACTGAATTGAAATTTAACGTTCGACATTTAAAATAGTCTGAACCAAAAATTGGTTAAGCACAACTCACACTTTTATTATTCATGCTGGGATTACTGAGATGACTGAAAACAATACACACTTATTAATGTCGCACGCACGGCACTTAACTTAGAAGGTGGAGGCGTTAGAGGCGTTGGAGGCTGTGGAGGCGTCTTCGAAACGACCGGTTACTTTTTTAAGGCATACCGTGCATGAATACCGTAAGGTCTCATCCCATGAAATAACTTCTTCCTGGGTTGATTTTCTTCGTGTGGTCTTACATTGGGGATTTCACTGTGTCTTATAACAATGCCTTCACTCCCAGGAAAGTCCAGTGACTAGTGTTGATCCGTATGATGCGTTTCTGGCGGAGCAGAAAAAGCGGGAGGCTGACTGGGAATCAAATCGAGCCAACAAGAAGGCAAAAACCATGCAGACCGCAAACAAAGATTTGGAAGAAATAAAGCAGCAATTAGCCACCAAGGAAGCTGAATGTGCAACCCTTAAAGGCCAACTCAACAGTCTTCAGTGTGCCAACGTTTCTGTTGTGGAAGCTGTGAATAATAAAGTAAAGGAAAGCTTCTGCAAGGTAAGCACACTGATCAAATGTTAAACTGCATTTTCAAAAACATATCAAGAAATGAATTTTAAGAAAGCAATGACAATGGAATGAAGTGAAGCGTGAAAGTGTGGGAATTAAAAAGATAGTTTAATGGCCGGTTTACACTGTGCGATTTGTCGTTGGAGCGCTAATCTTTATTTTGACAGCCGATTTTAAGATGCAACCTGTACCTTTAACAATTTGTTCGCATGCCCTTTATTTAGGAGGCAGTTTCATTTCAGAGTGTCTGGCCGACTTCAGAAAATCTGTTGCACTGCAACAGATTTTTTTAATTGGACCAATTTTCATTTCCATGAATCGGTCCTTCACCGGCTGTCAAAATCCAGGTAAGATTTCTGCTCCAAAGCCATCGGGCCGACAAATCCTACCATGTAAAGCAGCCTTAAGATTGACATGGTGTAACTGTTGAGTCAAAGAGGGTTGTTCTCTCTGAATATGAATAGCCTCTTTTGAGTTGAAAACTGGTAAACTTGTGATCTAAAACACGAAAATAATCTGCAGAAGACGAAGCGTGACAATGTTCAGAATTCTGCAGATGTTTGAAAAAGTGAGAGGCCCTATCACTGGTGGCCAGAAAGCATGCTTTAAGGTCAGTACTATTGCCTCCGAATTGTAGTCAATCTGTGGTACTAATGCATATTATATTTCGACAGATGATGGAGACATTGGGGGACACACTGTCAGCAATGGAGGACAACATGTCCCTACGACTAAGCAAGATTGAGCACCGCCTGGATTCATTAGAAAAAGTGGTAAGTTGTTGTTCTTTCATGGGATTTGCGTAAGCTTGTCGTAAAATGGATTTTTTAAAAGAATCGCATCTGGATACGGAGCATCTTTGCTTTCTCACCCAAACGGGTCATACTGAATTGGACTGGCAACTGAAAACCTACATGTTTACTTCAGAAACGGCTCCATTTAAGAGGCACTGTCACGATATGTTTGCTTAAAACTGTTATAAATTCATGAAATAGTTCCTAAATTTATGTAATAACAACTTAATTTCGACGATTTTCGAGCCTAACTTGAACTTTTGAAAAACTGACAGCCTGACGCTTTTTCAAAAATCCATATCGCAATCCGTTTCCATCCTCGCCAT